GATAAAGACATCAGATGAAATTCCTATTTATACCAAGTCGTATAGATACCCAATGGTACATAAGGAAGAAATAAAGAGACAAATTAACAAAATGCTTGATGACGAAATAATTAGGCACAGTTATAGTCCATGGAGTAGTCCTATATGGATAGTTCCTAAAAAATTAGACGCTAGTGGTAAACAAAAATGGAGACTAGTTGTCGATTATCGCACATTAAATGACAAAACTATAGACGACAGATATCCTTTACCTAATATTACGGATATTTTAGACAAATTAGGAAGATGTACTTATTTCACAACTCTTGATTTATCCTCCGGATTTCATCAGATAGAAATGAATCCAAATTCAATTGAGAAAACCGCATTCAATGTCGAACATGGACATTATGAATTTGTACGGATGCCTTTTGGTCTTAAAAATGCACCTGCAACATTCCAAAGAGTTATGGATAATATTCTAAAAGATATAATTGGAAAATTTTGTCTAGTATATATGGATGACATAATAATATTTTCCAAAGGACTTGAGGAACATATTAAACATATTAGAAAAGTATTCTTAAAATTACAAGAAGCTAAATTAAAAATACAATTAGATAAATCAGAATTTCTAAGAACTGAGGTTGAATTTCTTGGTCACATTATAACACCAAATGGAATAAAACCAAATCCTAAGAAAATTGATACAATATTAAAATATCCAATTCCTAAAACAACTAAGGAAATCAAATCATTTTTGGGATTATTAGGATATTATAGAAAATTCATTAAGGACTTTGCTAAATTATCAAAACCTTTAACGCAATGTTTAAAGAAAGGAATGAAAATTATACACACAAAAGAATTTGTCGAAACATTTAATACATGTAAAAATATTTTATGCAACAACCCAATTTTACAATATCCTGATTTTAGTAAATCTTTCATACTAACTACAGATGCTTCAAATATAGCATTAGGCGCTGTCCTTAGTCAAGGAAAATTAGGAAATGATTTACCGATTGCTTATGCATCAAGAACCTTAAATCCAGCAGAGCAAAATTATTCGACAATAGAAAAAGAATTGTTAGCCATAGTATGGTCCACTCAACATTTTAGACCATATTTATTCGGTAAAAAGTTTACAATTGTGACTGATCACAAACCATTACAATATTTGTTTAATATAAAAGAACCAAATTCACGATTAGTGAGATGGCGGTTAAAACTAAGTGAATATGATTACAATATCATATATAAGAAAGGAAAAGAAAATATGAATGCCGATGCTCTATCAAGAATAGAATTAAATGCAGTAGAAAATGAGTCTCTAATTGGTAACCCTGGAGATATTGATACTGAAATAGAGCAATATATACAAAGAGAACAAGAAAATCCAATTACACAAGAGGAAAAGGAACAATTGGATGAATTACTTAAACCATCCAAAATACAAATTTTATCAGATATTCAAGTTAAACAACCTGATGTTAAAATACCATCAGATAATGAAACCGTTCATTCTGCACAAGAAGATCCAATATTAGATATACCTATAACAGAAAATTGTATAAATAATTATTCAAATCAGATAATATTTACACTAAAACCGAATGGACACTATCATGTAATAACTACCAAACCATTTGGAATAAAAACAAGACATACTGTAATTTTAACAATTAATTATGTACAAGAAATAATTAAATTCTTTAAGGATTATGTAGATCCAAAGAAATTATATGCTATTTATACTAAAGATGCAAAAGAAAATCTATATCTTGAAGTAAGTACTATACTACCAAGTGTATTTAGACACAATGCATACAAACTTGTAATTTCAAAATCATATCTCTATGATGTCTGTGATGAAACAAGACAAAAAGATATAATTAAATATCATCATAACAAGACATGTCATCGAGGAATCAATGAAGCCTTATTAGGAATTAAACAACAATACTATTGGCCTAAAATGAAGGAAGATTTAACTGAATTTATAAATAATTGTGACACTTGTCAACAAACAAAATATGATAGAAATCCACCTAAAATAAAATTTAATTTAAGCCCAACGCCAACTGAGCCTTTAGAATTAATTCATTTAGACACATTCCAAATTCATAATGTGAAATTTCTAACACTAATTGATGTATTCTCAAGGTATGGACAAGCTTATGTATTAGAACCAATTTGTACAGCAACAACTGTAATGGATAATTTATTAACATTTATAAATCATCATGGTCTTCCTTACCAAATAACTTGCGATAATGGTACAGAATTCAAATCAACATTATTGTTAGAATTTTGTAAGCTACACAATATAGCTATACATTTTACGACTCCAGGAAATCCCAACAGTAATAGCCCTGTTGAAAGATTCCATTCAACAATTATAGAACATTACAGAGCCCTAAAAATTAAAGATCCAAATGCAAAACCTAAACAGTTAATGCAATATGCAATCCTAGGATATAACTTATCTGTACACAGCGTTACGAAACAAAAACCCTTTGATATAATAAATGGAAAGCTTAATGCTTTAGATCCTTTTGATTTAACAGATGAAATAATTGTCAACAAATATATTGATGATCGACGTGAAAGATTAAAAATTATTTATAAAAACATTTATAAAAGAAATCTAGAAACTAAAACGAAGATTATCGATAAAAACAATGAAAATCGTGAAGAACCCATTGAATATAATATAGAAAAATCTGCTTATACGAAAAATCCAAAAGCAGAAAGATCTAAAGATCAACCACGTTATGAGAAAATATCTATAAAAGACGATATAGGAAAGAAAATAATAACTTCAAAAGATAAAGTTATTCATAAATCACGATTAAAGAAACCTAAAAAGTTTTCTTATTCGCAGGGACAAAATGAAGACAATACTGCTGTTGCTTCTACTAGTCATGCTGCGAACACGAACCTGTCTGACAGTGACGAATGACAATGACATTACGATAACTCCAATTCAAACTCCTTTATTACCATTCCTATTAGGTAATACAAAGATTATTGAAACAAAACACACATTCATTCATTACATTGAAGTTTTACCAATAATAAATCAATTACAAAATATTGAAATATTTTATAATCAAATAAATCATAATTTAAATAAAATGAATATAAGTCGATATACACATCTGCCAAATTTAAAAGCTATGATGAATCATACCAAATATCTTATAATAGAAGCTAAAACAAAATTAAATAATGTTCAACCACATACAAGAACCAAAAGAGGTTTAATAAATTTAGGCGGAAAAGTATCGAAGTGGCTATTTGGAACACTAGACGCTGAAGATGGCGAAAAATATGATAAAGCAATAAATGAATTGCAGAATAGTCAAAATTCCTTTCAAAGTGAAGTGAATTTACATATGTCATTAACTAAACAACTTATTCAAAATTATAATGAGACGATTTCAGTACTCATAAATAATCAAAATATAATTAAAAAACATATTGAAACATTAAAATCAAATATAAAGAAATCAATTAATGACATAACTGCATTCTTGCAAGCTCAGAATACTATAAATCAAATTATATTAAATTGTCAAAATATAATAACATTCTTAGACAATTTAGAAGATGCAATAAGCTTTGCACAACTAAATGTTCTACATAGTACTGTTATTTCTGCAAAAGATATGTCAAAAATTATATCTAATTTGACAATACTATATGGGAAAAATAAAATAATAAATTTTGAAAATTTAAACAACTATTATCAAGTTGCAAATTTACAAATTAAATTTATAAACAATAAAATAATATTTATAATACATTTTCCAATCTTCAATCAAGATACCTATAAATTATACCATTTATTTCCCATTCCTATAAATAATACCATTATAATTCCTAAACAACCCTACCTTGTACTGGGCCATCATATGCAAGAATATTTACCTGAAGAATGTCCGATGGTTGAAAACATCTTTATTTGCCACAACGATCTTCAACCCATCACAAATGAATGTTCAATCAACTTAATCCAAGGAGTGGAGACCCAAAATTGTCAATTAACAATGGCTGTACCAGAACAACCAATAATTGAAATGATAAACAACAATTACATAATTGTGATACCAAGCCGAAAAGACTTACAAATATTAAAAACTTGTAAGAATCAAGAGTACCACTTAATTACTAAACCAAGTTTAGTTAGTGTACCTTTTAATTGTGGAGTTCAAATACTTCAAAATACATATTGGAATACTGAAAATATAATCAAAGGAAATCCCTTCATCTTACCAAAGATTACCTTTGATGAAATTACCAAAGAAAAATTTGAAGAAAAGATCAAGATCCAATCAATTGATCTACATCATATTAAAAACCTAGAAGAAAAGGCAAACCAATTAAAACCAATCGTGGTCAACCCAATCCATACCATAGCTTGGAGTTCCACCACAACTATACTATTAATTATTGTAACTTTGATTATAATAATTTTATGGAAACTAAGAAGACAAATTCGGTTGAAGTTATCACAAAAGAAGACAGAAGAAGTCAAGAAAGAAGATATCCCTTTCCAGGACTTCGAAAACAAGCGAGCCCCGTTGTTTTCGTCTTCGGTGGGAGGAGTTATGGGCATCCCATGAATGGAAGCTGCCAACGAAGCCACCCATATTCTAGAATAGTTTTATGCTTATGTTAACATTAAATTATATATAAAAGCTTGTAATCCCTATATAGAATCAATCTTGTTCACGATCCTGTGTTAAACTTTAGTACTGTATTACCTACCTTCTCAATAAAGTTATATTTTTAAAACACGCTCAACGTTCGGAGAAATATAATTCATAAGAAGAATAATTGCCAATTTTGGCGCGAATTTCTAAAACTCAGTTAGAAAAAAGATTGAAAAAAATGTTCAGATACAAAGCAATCAGATAGTCGCGTCTTGGCTGCTGCCTCGTTATCACCGTCATAAATAAGTATTAAAGGTAACAATATTCAGTTTTATAAATTTAGATTCTCTAGACATTCTATTTATTTCTTATTTAGTTACTGTTTTCGTACAAAGGTTCGTGTTGGCCGAAAATGCCGGGTCCTCCCTATACCCCAGATGAGGATAAAATTATTATACGATATCTGCTCGACAGCCAGTCCATTCCGCGGTCCATGGGCAATATAGTCTGGATAGAACTAGAAGAGCTAAACTTGCTTCCAGGACGATCATGGCAAAGCATGAAGAACCGCTGGCGTCGCGGCATCACTGACAATTTATCAAGGTGCGTTTTATTATATCTGATTATATCATTACTTGTAATAAAAGATCCGATTGTAGGCCGGAGTATTCTCTGAATAAAGAGGAAATACGTGTTATTTCTGAGCAGACGAATAAAAAAAAACCCTACTGCAGGAACAAAAAAAAATGAAAATAATAGTGTTCCGTCAACAAGTCGTGTAGGACCGGTAAGTATGACTTCGTAAGAAAAAGTTTATTCTTTAGATGTGAGTTCATCAGACACTGAATAACAAACCATATCTATATCATATAAAAGCTCAAAGAGTTTTTTGTCCCGTCCACCACGCGGCTACCTTCTTCAATTTTGATGATTCTTTTAAAATGAAACTTCTTTACGCGCGCATTTTTTTTTATTTTTTGTGCTTATTCGTACTCATTGCTTCCTCATCAAAAAATATAAAAAATAGTTCTTATTTCTTATGAACATGGGTGCGGAAATGCATAGTTTTAAAGTTACAGGATGTCAAAAGTTTTAAAAAATAGGCCTGTTGTAATTATCTTAAATGCCATTATTTTTTTAGTGAATTTGCTGTAGGTAGCGCTGTACATACATCAACGTTATAAATTTTAATAAAATTTAGTAATAAATTATATGAAATAAGTAATTTATTAATTTTATTTTTATTTTAATTTTATTAATTAACATTAGTAAAATTGCGTTTATCTTATTGAAATGGACAAAATATCAAGATACAACTTTTAATCGGCATTAAATGGCCTACACACTTGCTAATAAGAGGAAAAAAAGTCAGTGCGCAGATGTTTTTTAGAAAAATATTCCAGTGATACTCCATATGCACGTCCCTGGTGACTCTGTCGATAGTTTTTTAGCATTAAAATATGTAGCACTAATAGTAACTTTTACGCTCAAATTTTCATTCCAATCGCTAAAAGCACTTGGAAGAAAATTATAATAAATCAAAACAAAATTTAAACTTTATAACCTCCTGTAGCTACGAAACAAAACAGAATCGGACCCATGTTGATTTGAAAAATAAATCTTATTTTTACGTGAGGAATCGCTCCATGCTAGATGGCACATATTTTATGAAACACCCTGTATACAGGGTGGCGCAGCTCATTCACCTTTGATTATACGAAAACGGAAAGATGTAGAAACAAAAAATGTTATGTGTATATGTGGGAAAGCAATGTGCATAATTTAAAATTATTTTGAAATGTACAGGGTATGTCAGAACTAAGATCCACACCAAAGTTATATTTTTTCTTATGGAACACCTGGTATTTTATGTCATTTTTGGATTATTGGACGTAAAATAAGGCATTTATTATAAGGGTTTAATATGTTTAAAAGCTTTGGTTTTTGAGATATTTAAAAATATTTAAATATGCATGCTATAATAAAAAAGTTTATCAACACCTTGTACATTACTTTTCAGAATTAATTCTTGTGCTGACTTTCAAGCCAGAGAAATAAACTTTACTAAACGTTTTGATTGCTTCCTTAAATGTATACAGGGGTATCAAATATTGCTGGTCTATTTTAAATATTTATTTTACATAAAAATTTCCTTACTTCAAATGCAACACTATGTATTTTTTAAAATAAGTCGAAGCAGATTTAAATGCTCTTTCAAACTATATTAGGGTTTTCCAGAAATATCTGGCTCAGATTTTGAATAAAAAGCGATTTTTCGAGGTGGCGGAATTTGGAGGTGGCTGTATTCGTCCTAAAAGTCAAAATTCCTACAAACCGAACGTCACTTCGGGCATGTTCCGAATTTTTAGGACTACCGAACATGCCCGAAGTGACGTTCGGTTTGTAGGAATTTTGACTTTTAGGACGAATACCGCCACCTCTGTCGGATACACATTGTACCATTTGTGGTTCCCCCGGCAATTTTCTAGTGACAGTAGCTATTTTCAAAATCGAATTAATTTATAGACTTTATTTAAATTTATAACAGGTCATTTTTATTTAATTTACCAACAATAAGGTTAATAAGTAAGTATTTATTATTATATCAGGAAAAATGAAGCAGTACCTATCTGCTGGCCGAAGGAATGGATATGTTACTAGTTAGTAGTGATTTTATTTTGAGAGGACAATTGCTTGTTGGCCTGAAAGATTTATGCTCAAAGGCATCCAAATAGGAATTTTCTTGATAAGCGTTCCGTTTTGAAAAACTACTTTTCCTATTTCGCAGAGCTGATAGTGTAGTATATAAAAAACTATGGAGTCTAAAAGCAAAGCCCTCCAAAACCCACGAAAAGCATTTCGTATTTAGCATAAATCTGCCCTTGGAAGTCAAGAAAATGAATTTGCCTTAATTGGTTATTTTATAGAAAATGCAATATATCCACCAGTCGTCATATTCAAAATAAAGAACTACTTCTTTATTTTTCTTGATAAAATAAGAAATACTTACTTATTAAACTATTGTAGGTAAATTAAATAAAAGTAAACTGTTATAAATTTTAATAAACTCCATAAACTAATGTCGATTTTGAAAATAACTACTAACTGTCACTAGTAAATTCCCATGGCGACACCAGCCATCTTGACTACAATTTTATTGAAAAATCGCTTTTTATTCAAAACCTGAGCCAGTTAGGTATAGGAAACCCTAATATAGTTTGAAAGAGCATTTAAATCTGCTTCGACTTATTTAAAAAAAATACATAGTGATGTATTTGAAATAATGAAGTTTTTATGTAAAATAAATATTTAAAATAGACCAGCAATTTTTGACACCCCTGTATACATTTAACGAAGCAATAACATTTTTTAGTAAAGTTTATTTCTCTGACTTCAAAGGCAACACAAAAATTAACTCTGAAAAGTAATGTACAGGGTGTTAATGTACAACTTTTTTATTATAGCATGCATATTTAAATATCTTTAAATATCTGACAAACCAAAGCATTTAAACATATTGAACACTTACAATAATTACTTTATTTTATGCCTAAGAATCCAACAATGAAATAAAATACTGGGTGTTCCCTTAATCTAAGGGTGTTCCATAAGAGAAGATATAACTTTGGTATGGATCTTAGTTCTGACAAACTCTGTACGTTTAAAAATAATTTTAAATTATGCGCATTGCCTTCCCACATATACTCATAAAATATTTTGTTTCTACATCTTTCCGTTTTCTTATAATCAACCGAGGGGAATGAGGTGCACCACCCTGTAGATATTGTTGCGAGCCGGTGTGGACTCGACCTAACCTCACAATATGGCCCACCCTCGGATGACCTTAACATCGCATAGACACCGCAATGATTCATTCGTTCGAGAAGAATCGAGTCCCACTGGAATGGACTAGTACATACGAGAACATTCGAAAACCTTCTCTACGCACCTAACGATCTATGGACAATCTAGATTTGTTTTACCTGTCGGTATAAAGCCGGCGGCAGTGGCCTACAGGGGGCAGTTATAAATATACGAGTGCAGTTGACGCGCTAAAATTCAAAATAATATTCCTTAGTTATAAATCGTTTGTAAATAGTTCTATAAGTCTTTTATCGTTATTGTTTTTGTTAATTAGTGTTAAATAAATAGTGTTTAAATAAATTGTGACTTTCTATCCACACGGAACCGACGAAAAACGTAACAATATTACATTTAAATAAAATCCCATCAAAAACATAGAATGTAAAAAATGCCAAGTCTCGCAACATTATTCTTCCACTATAAAACGTTGTAAGATCTCTTGTAAAACCAAGTCAGTTTATTTTATTTGGTTTTTTAAGCACTTATAATCTCATTTACAAATTTTTGTGAGTTAAATAATTGAATAATAAGATTTTAATATAAAAGGCCAACATGTAAAAAACTAAATTAAAAATCATCGAATTTCCATAAACTAAATTACAATTTTTATTTAATTCTGAATTTTTATATTACCTAACTCTTAACGTTTTGTATGTGACTGGATCTTCAATTGATAATTTTTACAGGAAAAGTAATCCTACTCATGTATTACCTGCCTACAGAAGAACCACTCTCTACACAGGATGGATAAATCTCTCATTATTGTATATGAGAGTGTGGTCAAAAGTAAGGTGTAATTTATTGTATTTCTTTTGTTGTAGTGGTTTGACAGTTTATTTTTGGTTGAAGAATAATGTTGCGAGACTTGGCATTTTTTACATTCTATGTTTTGATGGGGATTTATTTAAATGTAATATTGTTACGTTTTTACTCCGGTTCCGTGTGGATAGAAGTCACAATTTATTTAAACACTATTTATTAACACTAATTAACAAAATATGTGATAAAGACTTATAGAACTATTTACAAACGATTTAAATTTATTTTGAATTTTAGCGCGTCAATTGCACTGGTATATTTATAACTGCCCCTGTAGGCCACAGCCGCCAGCTTTTATACCGACAGGTAAAGAACTCTAGAATTGTCCATAGATCGTTAGGTGCGTAGAGAAGGTTTTCGATTGTTCTCGTATGTACTAGTCCATTCAGTGGGACTCGATTCTTTTCGAACGAATGAATCATTGCGGTGTCTATGCGATGTTAAGGTCATCGGTGGGCCATATTGAGGTTAGGTCGAGTCCACACCGGCTCGCAACAGCGGTGGTGCACCTCATTCCCCTCGGTTGATTATAAGAAAACGGAAAGATGTAGAAACAAAATATTTTATGAGTATATGTGGGAAGGCAATGCGCATAATTTAAAATTATTTTTAAACGTACAGAGTTTGTCAGAACTAAGATCCATACCAAAGTTATATCTTCTCTTATGGAACACCCTTAGATTAAGGGAACACCCAGTATTTTATTTCATTGTTGGATTCTTAGCGATATCTCGAAATCTATTAGAAATAATAGATTGTAGTTTTTTCAAGAACTTTATTAATATTTCTGCTGTATTTTCTTTGTAGACAGTAAGTGAAAATCTTTATTTCAAAAAATTACACGATTGCTGAAAATTGCTATGCTCTAAAAGGAAATGGATGGATTGTTTATAATTTTTGAATGGAAAAAACAACCTTATCGAATTTTTTTTATGTAAACATATTGTAAAATATCCGATCTTGAAAATAAAAAAAAGTTTCAATATCTAAAGTGGTACTTGAGTTATGGCCTGTTATGTGTTAAAAAGTTGAGTTTTTAAATTATCGCGATTACTGACGTTTTCTCGTTATAAAAAAATGACACCCTAACGATATCCTTATAATTCCATTTCAGATGCTTAGACACATGTCTAATGATTTTATCTAGTTATCTCTTGAAAAAAAAGTATTTTAAAAATAAGCGGTTTGCGATCGTGATTTTACTTTACTTAATAGGGAAAGGCGTATCGGCAACGCCGCGACAGCACTCCGTCGCATCGGTCAGTCGCATTTTTCTCACTCCGACTTAATAAGATCCCTATGCGATTTACTTCCACACATGTAAATGCCGACCCAAAAGTAACAGTTGCCAGCACGGTATACCTGTTATCATTGGCATAAACTAAACATGTTGACTAAATAGTTATTAGACTGAAATCATAAATTTGAATTGTTTTTGTGCCAAAAGTTCAACAGAAACATTTTATCATCATTTTTTCCAAGAAAATTTATAATTAATTAAAGGAAATAAAAAGTTCCAAAATTTATCATTTCAGTCAAATAACTATCTACTCAACATGTTTATTTTTTGTCAATAATGACATGTATTGACTATTTCCATTCTAAATATCTTGAGAACGGTTGCTTGTAGCGATTTTTACCAAGAGACATTTTTTACGTAAAAAATCACGGAAATGTATATTTTTCACTCAGTAGTTTTATAGGGATACGGACGAAAAGTTATTACTCTTCAAAACAGTTAAAACACAAGTAGGTGGCGCCCCCTACAAATAGGAGTCATATTGACATCAAAATCAAATTTATCATGTCAAAAAACTCCCAGACATCAATTTTCATCCAAATATTGATGTTATTTCGAAATTATTTCGAAAAAATCGATCGAAAATGAAACTTCTACGCCCTATATCTCCAAAACTAAGCATTTTAGGTCTAAATGTATGTCTACGACCTTTTTTACTTATTTTTATCTGTAGGATATGCTGCCGAAGTTTCCGGAATACAGTTCGGAACGCCCTGTATAGGGTGGGTCTTAAATAAGTGCAAATATTTTTAGAGGTGGTATATTTCGACCCCAGGAACACGTCTATGAGTCAATATTCACAACCGTCAATATAAACAAATTTAGAATGAAATAATGAGAAGAGCAAATGTTTCTGTAGAAAATCTAAGTTCAATTTTCTATATAAACGCAAGTTTTGTTGCTATACTCAATAAATTGGAATATAGGTGAAGTGCGTAATTTATAAAATCGATCGAAGATATGATTTTACTTGACCCTTCATAAATGTTATATTAAATGTAACAGCAATAAAAATGTAATATCCTGTATGGGTCTATAATAATAAACAGTCTGATACATAAAATATATTTCAATTTGGTACTAAGATATTTATTATATCGATACGTGGAAACAAAAAACAAGGTTTACAGACATAAAAGCAACTTAAAAAAGAACTATATAAGGTGTCCCAGAAATAAGTGCAAATATTTTAAGGGGTGGTAGATCTTGATAAAACAAACATATTTTCTCTTTATCGTTTTTCAAATAAGTCCAAAATAACGGTTATTTTACATTTAAAATTTCCAAAAAAGTTATTTTTTGCGAAAATTTTGAGAACCACTGGATCTTTTCTGGATTTTCTTTCTTGTAAATTTAATCTAATACCTATGTTGCCATATTATCAAGAAATTATGTTTTTTAACTAAAAACTAAAAAAATTTCCAAAAAATTTTTCAAAAAATTTCGAATTTTCAAAATTTTTTTTCGCGAAAAAAAAACTCATAGGCGTGTTTCTGGGGTTGAACTATACTACCAGTTAAAATATTTGAACTTATTTCTGGGACACCCTGTATATTAAAATTAACTAATGGTGGATTTTATCTTTAACAGTATGTCCCGGATTGTCTTTGGAAGAAGAAAAACCTTTTTATTATCGACATTTTGAGAAAAATGTATTCTTCATAAAAAGATTTGTTTCTTCTAAAATGGGTAATACCGTTTATACTTTTCCAAATTTCAATACCATTTTAGAGAAATTAAAAAAAAAACATAAAAATATGATTGCTTATTTTCCTAAAAGTCTGAAAGTCCTAAAAATCAAAATGCGTTTCTATAGTAATGTAATTTGATTTTCATTCTTTAATAGATTATTATTGATAGAATTTTAATTAATATCATATTTTTTACTGTTTTAAAATGTTACAGATGCACAAAATTTATTTAGTTCAATGCTACGGAAAGGGTGATAATAGTTATCGGAAAATGTGATACTTTAACAGTAGCAAAAAATATGACTTTAATCAAAGTAATAAGTCATATTTTTTGCAGTTGGACAAATCGCAATTTAGAATATTCGAGTAAAATGCATAGTTTTTAGCAATTAATAATTAAAAAAAAATTAAAGTTTGAAATTAAATATCATCTTAAATAATCAAGTTAATTTTGATACCAAACTTTTTCTTATTTTAAAGTACATACACTGCAAATTTTAAGAACAGAATAAAACATATATGACGGACCGTGTAGCGCTTCTTTATTGACACACAACCCTGACTTGCTAACAGATCGGCATCCTTTCTAAAGCCTAAGCCGACTCTAAATCACGGCAGGTATGCGATATGGGGATCACGAGGATTATCCCTTACGTGATTGGAGCTAAACCCAACTTCAAGAATGGCGACTTTTGATGAAATTATCGCTCTTAGAGGGTCAATAATTCAACCGAATATTTATCTCAGCGACACATATGGAGATGGATAATTGTGTGAGAAGTCTAAAGAAAATATTACTTCAACAGCGGTATTTTTTTGTAACGCCGCGCCGTAGCGAATCAACAACCTATTACTATATGCTCGACCTTCACTTCCTCTACGTCAAAGCTTTAAAATCGGTAGATCATTTCTTGGACATCAACATTAACATTCTAAGACGAAGTTCATCTAAAACAAAAGACGTAAAAATAATCACCGGTAGAGGGAATAACAGCGAGGGGAAACCCAAATTAAAACTTGCAGTTCAAGGCCACTTCGTGGCATCACGCCATCTAAGATAAGCATTTTATTACTCTTTTAAGTATTTCTTCCATCGTTTTTATTTGACAAATTAATGTAAAAGGGTAAAATAATTTAAGTTATTGTCAATGAAGTTTTCTAGATGTTTATCCGTCAATATACCCATACCGTCTAATGTAGCTTAACTGCGGTATTCGAACCGAGCTCACCGTAGCAGAAGGATACATTTAAAAAACTTTTTACCACTGTTTTCGATTCTCGATTACAATGATATTATCCCTTATTATATATAAACTTGGTGAAACGTAATAATTGTATAGTATAAAATATCATTCATAAATAAACATACGGAAGAAAGAAGGTTAGAAAAGACAGGGCAAAAGCGTATAGGACCGTTGCAAAATTAAGAAATGAATTAAAAAGCATGAAAAAACAACAAATCAAGTATAAATACAAATATTTTAGGCTGAAGAAAAAAATAAAGCGAGACTCACCAAATGGTAGAGTTAACTCTTTACTAAAAAATTGCAATGTGCCCCAAGACGTAAAAAAAACTGGTTTTGCATGAAGCATTGACCTCACAAATATCAACTAACCTTTTAGGCATTATACCTATAGTGCAAGAAATTTGTTTTCCATTTTATAATTTAGTTTGCCTGAAAAAAAACCTTCTACCATCCTTTAACTATCGATAGTTGTGCCTCGATGGTACGAAAGTACTACCATTGCACGCAGGCCGCTATCTCGCGATACGGGACTTAATATCTTACCGCTACTTTACGACAAGTCGTATTTATATACTCTGCGTTGTGGTCGTCGTTTTGTGGAAATACCCAAGCTCACCTGACGATGGGGTAGGGCCCTGAAACCGGTAGTGAGAGCAGGTTGATCCACATTATGACGAAAACAGCGTGGAATTAATTTCTATGTTAGCAGTTCAAGGCAAGAAACTCTTATATAATCTCATA